TCTCTCTCTCTCTCTCTCTCTCTCTCTCTCTCTCTCTCTCTCTCTCTTGCCCGCATCCGTTCTTTTTACATCCGCTTTTCCGAACGAATCGCGAGATTATAGGTACGGGGAAAAAAGCAACGAATTAACGTGTGTAAGGGGAGCGTGCTCTCGAATTTCACGTGTGTATATGTGAACACATATGTACGGAAGTACGTTATTTGCGCAACAAGAAGAGAGAAAGCCGCCGAGCGCGATAACTTCAAATGCGAAAGAGATTCTATGATATCACGGCCCGTAACTCGCGGCAACGAGAAACTATGCGAAACACTCTTCTACTTGCTTTATGTAACGTGTAACTATGCGAAGAGCGCGGCGAAGACGCGACTCCGATCCGATCCACGAATAACATTTAACACTGGACGGCCGCCGTGGGTTGCGTCAATATTATGCTTTTCGCTGGTCGACCGAATCTCCCTTCCTCCCTCCCCTCTCCGCCTCCTTCTTTCTCTCTCTCTCTCTCTCTCTCTCTCGTGCTTTGACTGGAACTGGAAAATCGCTCATCGGAATTAGTTAACGGAGGGTTGAGCGACGGTGGCGCGCCAGAAAAAGACCTTACCGTGGAAGATTAGGGAATTTTCATATCTGCGAGGCGGCACGATTTTTCATTTCTTTCCCTTTTCAGATAGGGCTGTTTACGCGGGAGGAGCTCCTGTTACATTGTCGAAGATTGAAGAGCGTGAGTGCACGATGGACAGTCTGAAAAATGTAGGAATCCCTCAAGTAGCGAGCGGGATTACTACTCGCGCTTAAAATTCCCCAACGGACAGAATCGCCGCTTCGACCTTTCCAGTATTAAAGGGTCGGCCGCGTTATTTGGACAAGCAGAGAAGAGGGGGAGAAAGAGAGTCGCGAAAAACAGAGGAGAGCGGTAAGAGCGCAGGGTGGATAGAAAGTCGAAAACCGCAAAAGTCTATCAAGTAACCAAGCGGGATTACCTATTTGGAATTCGCCGACGCGGTCGAGATGACCGTTCCGGATCCTTTCGGTGTTAAAGAACCAGCCGCGCTATTTGGACAACCGCGAAAGCTATCGCCACTGGAAACTGAATAATATAAGAGCGGTCTCGACGAGAAAGTAGATGTAAAAAAAAAAACGCAAATGTCTATCGGGAGCAAAGAAACAAATTCGACACAAACGATCCTCTTGGTCTGTCCGATGTTAATCAGGTGTGATAAGCACGAGAGAGAAAGAGAGATTCATAATGGCAAGGAGTCAAATGACGCAAGTGCGGGGATAAGCGAGAAGTGAAACAAAGTATGAAAATCAAGTGTAGGCTTAGTGAGTGAGTGAGAGATAGAGAGTGAGTGGGAGATACTCAAAATTTCGCCAGCGTTCGAAACGACCGTTCGTCTCTTTCCCGGCGTTAAATTACTGCCCTTATTTGGACAAGTACGAAAGATCCTCCGCGGATGCGACCGAGGGATTTAACGGCGGGATCCCGTTACCGGGACAAAGGATTAAAGCTCGATGCACGGACGATCACCAACTAACTTTCGCCTTACCCTCCCATTTCCCGTTTCTCGCCGCAAGCTCACGGCACTCGCCGAAGTAACGCGGCCGGAGTGAGTGCAGGGGCGAGAAACCTGTCAAGTGCAATAACTCGAAATGCGAGAGAAATTCTTTCGCTACGGCCGGGCGCCGCGGAGTGGTAGCTGCACGAAACGCCCTTCTTTCCTACTCTTTTTTACGCGCTTTTGACATCACGCATAGGAAACCCATTACTCGCTGCGAGGCTCGATAGCGCGAGCTCACGGCTCGAGTAAGGAGCAATACTCATCCCGAGATTTTCCCCGAGTACTCGGCGCCGCTCGACAACTCGGGAATAGATAGATAAACTGAAATAGACAGGGAGAAGACCTGAGCAAGAGAGTGTGTGTGTGTGTGTGTGTGTGTGTGTGTGTGTGTGTGTGTGTGTGACAGAGAAAGAGAGAGAGAGCCGAAGGGGCTAAAGTATAAATTAATTAAATTCGTTAACATTATGTCGCATCTCCTATTCATTTTCGCGCGCCAACCAGGCACGACGTGTCTCGTGAAAATCATATTATATTCACCGGCGGAACAATCGTCGCGCTATTTCCGCCGCAGTCGGTCTCCAAATCTCTAGCCGTATCGATCCCGCGAGCAAAAATGCCACTTGCGAAAATGTAAACTGTTAATTAAACAAAAAATACTGCACGCGCACGGCACGGTGTAATGTTGGGAAACATCATTCGCCCGGAGCACCAGGCTCGCCCGGGAGATTTAATTTCAATTCAATCGAAGGGGGGGGGGAGAGGGGCTAGGGGATGAAGCAAGAGATACGCGGGATAAATTTGATTTCCAAATAAAAGATATATCTCGGAGATTCTCCGGCGAGTGTCACTGGGCGGTCTCGCAGGACAATCGCGGGGACGATTCCTTACAGCACGGGCCCACAATAGCGACGTCGTTCGGGCCACTCGGAATTTCGGATTTATGGCGGCCAGCATATTCCATACGGCGGCGTCCGAGAAGCGTACGCCGCAATTCCCCATAAATTCGAAAATCTCGAGAGTCGCCGCCGCCGGATACTCCCAGAGGGATCGCCCGGCCGATCCTATTACCGGGCCACAGGATTAAGCCCGATGTACGGAAGATCGCCCCGGACGATCGCCAACTAACTTCCGCGTTATCCTCTCCGTCCGCCGACCGTTTTTCCCGCAGCCCCCCCAAGTCGCGGTGGTGGTCGGTCGAAGAAGGACGACACGATACGCCCGCGAGTTCGAGAGGGACGGTTGCCGTCGTCCGCGCTCCTCCAAGCGGAGCGTATTTCGCCAATTTCGTTAGCGCCTGCACGGACGCGCTCCCACCTTCCTGCGCGTACACACACACACACACACATATACACTCACTCTTATATCTACGTTCACGCCAGGTGCGCACACACGTATAGATACATACATACATACATTTTACGAGCGTGCGAGTGAGAAAGCGCGCGTATACGTAGGGAACGCACCGAAAGAGAGGCGCCCTCGCTAGAAAGAGAGAGACGGAAGATTTTGCAGCGATCATCGACTTGGAGAACGGCGCAGTCGCCCAGGAACCAACTCGAACTCACTCACCCTGCCCTCCCCCGCCGTCCCTTCTCCTTCTCCACTACCACGCTACCTCCTACCTCCTACCTCCTCCTCTCCCAACCACCGCACACAGCCTTCTCTGTCTCGTTTCATCCTCATCGCGCGCTTTCCGTCCACCCCGCGCTGCCAGGTGGCCTTCCAACCCTCCTCGAGCGCCGCCGCCGCCACCATCGGCACAACCACCACCACCGCCACAACCACTGCCATCACCTCCACTACTACCACCACCACCACCACCACCACTACCATCGCCACCACCACCATCGCCACCACCACAGTCGGCAGCGGTGCCAGCAACAGCAGCAGTGGCAGCAGCAGTAGTAGCAGTAGCAGCAGCAGCAGCACTGCCGTCGCTACCACCTCCTCGATTCCGACGTGTCTCTCTCTCTCCTTCTCTCTCTTTTTCTCCCTCCCGATATCACTCCCCCTCTCTTTCTCTCCCACGCTACAACCCTCGTCGCGTCGCTGCACGTCCCTCTCGCGCGCGCCTCGGCGCCTCGTCCTCCACCGTGCCGGTGCCGCAGTACCGACTGCTTTCCGCGGAAGGTGGAAACCCGTGTAACGCGGCCGTATATAGATTTTCAATTAGTCAAGGGGCGGCAGCGTGGGTAGGAAATTATGTGAGTAGCCGCGAGTACTTGAACACTCGCCGCCAGTCGCAGCTGTGCGAGTCGTGCACCGCGAAAGTCGTCGTCAACGTAGACCACCGGTCTCCCGCCGTCGCTTTATTTCGCGTTCCTCGCGCGCCCGCTTCGTCGCCACCACGCGCGAGTCCCCGAGACGCGAGAACCGCGTGTGCGGCGATCCAACGCTCTGTGCATCATCCTCGTCGTCCACCTCCTCTGCGAGGGTGGTCACGCGTCGCGTCGCGCCGCGCGCGTGTTCCGTCTCGGCCAGCCAGCGTGGAAAGATCGATTTCCCAGCGGCGTGTACGAAGCGTGCGAGACAGAGAGAGGGAAAGCGTGTGCGTTCTTGCGGCCGAGTGTTTACGGGATCACGTTGTGGACTCGATCCCCTCCTAACCTGTGTGAGCGATGACTCGCCAGTGACGACAGTAGGCCAGAGATAGGAGAGATAGATCTCCTCGCCTGTGCGACGTCGCGTCGCGTCGCGTCGCGCCGCGCCGCGCCGCGCCAAGCGCATCACCGGGACGTCCCCGGCGATCTTGGAGAACCGGGATCACTCGCGGGAGCGAGGATGCTGCGCGCGGTCTTCGCCGTCCTGCTGCCACGGTTCCTCGCACTGTCGCCGTTGCTGCTTCACTCAGGTACGCGACACAACCATCCCGAGATATCAGCTTCACGTTCCGGAGAGCGTCGCGTTCGAGCAATGCCGCGTTCACCGTTACACAGCTCGACGTTAACGTCGAAATCCGCGGAAGCGCTTGGCTTATCGTAAAACGGAGGTAAAATCACGAACAACACTAGGAATCGACCGGAAAGGGCGATCTCGAGATAAACATAGTGTGAAAGTAATTTATGGGCAAACGTCGATAGAATTGCGACAAGATTTGATCGCAAAAGCGCGGGATATTCTCTAGGGACGCGTAGAGGCGTGGTTTCCATCGCGGATCAGTATCGATATGGCAAACAACGAATCCGCGCGAGTCCACATGAAAGCCTTTATAAGAGATATGAAAACCCATTTTTCGGTATGCGTACGCATTCGACGTGCCAGGCATTTCGATCGCAGACCCAGCTTCGATAAAGGTGCATGAATCGCTGCTGATTTGCCAGTTAAAGTTCATTGCTGCGAAAAATCGCCGCGGAAATCTCGTCGGCGCGCGATTCAACGGGACTTATTATGTTATAAGCGAATTAGTAGATTAACGGGGCACGCTAATACGGGGACGCAAATTTCGCAATTATCTTGAAATCACCCGATTAAATCGCCGATAAAGAGTCACTGGATGCACTGTGCACGTGTGTGTGTGTGTGTGTGTGTGTGTATGTATGTCTGGTATTACGCGCATATATCTAGAGATGTATATCTTGCGCGCACGGCAAGCTCCGTCTAGCTCGCGCGCGGCAAAACGCAACGTGACATAGAGAAATAAAAACCAGAAGAATAAAAGCTAGACGAATAAAAGCTAGACGAATAAAAGCTAGACGAATAAAAGCCAGTACACAAAGCTCCATGCATTTATGTATATCCATGCAAAGCGCAGGGAACAACAATATCTGGTCGCGCGCGAAAATAGGCGGAGAAGACTCTCGATCGCGATAAACAAAACTCGCGGTCGAAATCATTCAATTACAATTCCGAGTTATATCGGCGAGCGATCTTGAAGAACTTCGGAGTTCGGTCGGATATATACGCGGCTCGCTTTTACGTAACCGGCGGAAGCTGGAGAACCGTGTCTTCTTCGGCTCGAATAAATTGGAATAACAGCGGTCGGAAAAATCGCCGAATCACCCTTGCTCTCTCGCCACTCCGGCTCGACTTTTCGCCCGCATTATATCGCGCGCGCGCCAGTCGAAGCCGCTGTTACGCCTCGAAATTAGTTCGCTGATTTAACTCCGCCGCGCCGCTATCGAGCGCATTTTTAGTATCCTCGACGGAACTTTGTTTTAAGTTCGCACTTAATTAAAACATTCGCCGATCGCGCGAGGCCGCATAGCGATCTTTACCCGTGAAATAGCGAGTTCGCGGACAGGGAGAAAGAGAGAGAGAGAGAGAGAGAGGGGGGGCTGTAACTACTGTTTGTGAATCGGCCGAGATAATGGAACGGTCGGCGGCTTCAAACAACCATTGTCGCGCGGAAATTGCCCCTTCACCTGACGACCGTGCATCGATCGCCATAAGCAAAATTCCGCAGATCCACGCCTCGAGAAATTGCGAAACCTCCTTTCGCGGCTTTCCCGCGTACCCGTCATCGTTCGTCGAACACGAAGCTACACTCGAAATTGGTTCACCGTTTCCCAACCCCGTTCGGCTCCGGGATGTTTTTAAAGAACCATTTTTTAAAGAATCGGAATTTTGCGGCGAGCAACCTAAGCGCGGAGAGGACACCAAATATGTGTCCCTTGGCTGGTGACCGTAACAATATATTAATTGTTATTTTTCGCGTATGCATATATTGAGAAAAGACATCTAAAAATTAACAAATATTTATTAGGTGGGCACTATCAACATATTTACTTAAATCAAAATTCTTTTCATTTAAACCGAGTACTGTTTAAATAAATAAATACTCGATTTAAGTAAATAATGCTCGACTTAAATGAAGAGAATTTTTATTTAAGTAAATACGTTAATAATACCCACCTAATAAATATGTTAATTTTTAAATATTTTCTTTCTCAATGTATAAAAGAACAGTAGAAATCATGGCACTCTGGCCTTCTTTGATACCTGTCCATACGTATTTGAACAGGACTCTCGAGCCCGCATTAATTATTACTTGAAATCCGTCTCAAGTGAGATACTCAGATTCGAATTCAGAGTTTCAGTTGAATCATGGTTACAGATACACGTGTATAATAATTCAATTGAACAACTTTGATCTAATTTTGAATAGAAATCCGAGAATTTTATATGAGACAAATTTCGGGAGACAGCTGTTAATACAAGCCTTCGAAAACTATTACATTGTGAGAAAAAATAAAACAAAAATAGAAGATATTTAATATTTGATGTAAGCATATATTTACTAGTATAAAATATTTTTTTATTAGTTCGGAATTGTTTGTTCTATTGAAATAAAAAATTTTGATTCAAGTAAATATATCATTACACTAACAAGGAACACTAGGCAACTCAAAAATTCAAAAAATTTTGAAACTTTGTGTGCAAATAGAGTAGTTCATCCGTAACATAAAACTATTTTTTTTTCGTGCGGAATTACAGTTTTAGGCGGTGAAACACCCCTTTGAAAAAAAATTGGTTCTTTTCTTTTGAACCAAATTTCATCGAAACTATGAGATAGAAAAAATTTTCCAGAGTGAAAATTGAATGATTTTAAGAATACTTTAGAACTATAATAAAAAAAATTTTTTTAAAGAGGTAGGATTGGGGTATACAATAAACAATTAAAAAAAATTTTTTTATTATAATTCTAAAATACTCTTGAAATCATTCAATTTTCATATTGGAAAATTTTTTCTATCTCTTATAGTTTCAACAATATTCGCTTCAAAAGAAAAAAACCGATTTTTTTCAAAGGGGTGTTTTACCCTCTATAACTGTAATTCCGCACGAACAAAAAATAGTTTTATGTTACGGATGAAATACTCTACTTGCACACAAAAGTTTCAGAATTTTTTGAATTTTTGCTTAGTGTTTCTTGTAAGAACAAAAAGCAATTTAGTCGACAAAATCGACGATTACCCGTCTTCAAAGAAATACCGCATTTATTGAACAAATTACGCGTTGGTGTAAAATGCAATAAATTGAGATAGCCACTGATCAAATCGCAATTCTCGAATTCACTGATAACTCTCATCACAGCGATCATATAATTCGTTCGTTCGACTAAACGTTCGCTTCAACGGATTTTGTTCGTTTAAACAAATGTCTCATTAACTCGACCATCTTTTTCCTCAGTATACTCCACCCAATAAGTTTCTTTTGCTTTCCAGATATTTTTTCTCATTATAATATGGCGCAATCAGAGCTCACTACTTTCACAACCATAATATTCGTTCTACAGACCACAGCAGAGAGACTGCAATATTCTTTCGGTTGAGGTAATTACTTTTGAGAATATACTAATTGAAGATTACATATCATAAAAGCCGTGACTGTGAAGACTGTATACAGATGGGTGTACACTAGGATTCTTAAATGCCTTTACATTTCCGATATCTGGAAAATTGGACTTTTTCGATTTAGCGCATCTTTTCTCAGTAAACGTGAATCGTGATTGTTAGTTAGTGAAAGAACTAACAGTCACGATTCATGAACAGTCATGTTTACTGAGAAACGATGTGCCAGATCGAAAAAGTCCAATTCTCCAGATACCGCACGTAAGAAAATGACTTAGTAATATTAACTAAACCGCGATAGCTGATTCAAACTTAGTCAAAAGGCTAATCGTTTAGCTGTCACTGCTAAGAATTGGCTATGACAGCTAAAATGCATTCGCTATGAAATACAAAAGTATTGGATGACGTTAAAAATGCACATTATTTCAAGAAAACGGCAGTTATTCCTAAATTTCTTATCGTATGCATATATTAAAGAAGTTTGCCATACAGCTACAATCATTTGCTACAGTCACTTGTTTTTAGCAGCTAATATTTCTCGCTGTAGTGCCTAAGTTTAAACAGCGAATAAATTTAGCTTCGGTAGTATTGACATTAACTGTCCCTATTTCAGTGACACATCTATTTTTGCCACAGCTATTTTTTAGCTCTGGAAGCTAGTTTTTTTTTGCGTGCGGAAGTGTAAAGGCACTAATGAATCCTAGTGTGCAACAACAGCAATCTTAATGCGACACTTATTAACCCTGAATTCACCCAAACTCTTTGTCTAACCGTTAGAGATGTGTTACAACCGCAACAGTTTTCTGCGTGAAAGCACTCGACGCGAGCCCGTCTTCAGCCCGCACCTCGAATTCGCAGGCGGCGTAAGCTGGTGTTTGTAAATCGGCGGCCGGGGGCGGAGATAATGGGACGATCGACTGCTTCAAACAGCGATTATCGTTCGGGAATTACCCCTTCGTCGGCTCGCAACTATGCCGTACGACTATCGCCATCGTGGCCGGAATGAACCCACGCGATTTAGAGCGTCTTACCGCGGCCAGTCGGTCGGTCGGTCGGCTTGCCGGCCGTCGACGCCGCTAAATGCGCATTGTCACGTGACGTTCGTATAAAGGTAATTAAGATTTCTGAGAACGTCACCTCGTCTACCAGCGGTTATTTATAGCCTAACCAATTACCATACACCCTGGCTTGTTTGCTTGCCACGATGTATACGCGCGCCCGGGCTTTTATTTTCAAGTCCACCGCGACCTGCGCGGCCTCCGCGCGCGCGCGCGCGCGCTCGCAAATTATCACTATCGCGTGTTTGCGAGAATTAACATATCGCGACGGCGCACACCGACTGATGATGCGCGGCCGGCTATCAGATGACCGGAGCTATTTGTACAAATGTTTTTGTTCCATTATATATTCCGGAATCTACATACTACGGGCGTTTTCCCGCCGGAAAAACCGGCCCATCTCAGCCTTCCTTCTCCCTGCCTCCTCAATTCGGCATCGGACATGAAGATGGGACAGAGGGATGCACGAGGAGGGTTAATTCGGCGCGAAAAGGACAATCAAA